TAAGTAGAAGCTTATGAATATAACACAGTAAATGAAATTTAAATCGATAAGGAATATATAACCATTTCAATTTTATGAACGAGGATGTCAGGTGGTCATTTTTTTTCAAGCTACACATTAATCTGCAAAATGAATTTTGAATTAATGACTCGCAGGGAATTTTTTTAGTTTTTTAATCGAGAATTTGTTTGATCGAGTATAATTGCCGAAGTACTAAAAAACAACTTTTTATATTACTGTTCACATGAGGAATAACATTCAGAGATTCATCTAGATTTTTGATAGTTTCACACACTTTATAATTTCACCATTTAATGATATAGCCGAATATTTCTTAATTTCATTTCTAAATTCCTTAGGAGAAAATATAGTTACTATAATCTTATAGGATCGAATATATTGATTAATATATATATAGGGTTAGTAATGAAAAAACCTATGCGCCTGGGGATATAACAGCATTCCACTAATAAGACCTACTTCTAAGGTTAGGTATATTGTGTGAAGTGGTGGAAGGCGTTATGCATTCTCTTTGTTCATAGTACTAGTAAAAAAGAAAATAGTGAAGGAGTAGACGGTTACTGATTTCATTTCCTTATTTATTTGAATCCTTATTTGATTCTCATCCACCGAAATAGAGTGAAAGTGCCTAAACCAGTCTCTTTTCGGCTGGTTCAACAAATTGTGGGTCTCGACAGAATATCAAAGCACACAGAAGCAAATGAAGATGACCCTGATTGAAGAACAGAATTCTGCGAGACAATGATGGAAACCATTGCACGCGTCCTGCCTCTATCCAAAATATTTGTTTTAGTGATGAATGTATATTTTTTCTCAACGGTAATGTGCATAGACAAAATTTTCGTTACCAGAGTGACACTAATCCTCCTTGCATTCCAGAAAGAAAGTGATCCACCACACTACTACAGACAAGTTAGGAATTATTTAGATAACAATTTCCCCGGTCGTTGTATTGGCCGTCGGGGTCCTGTGAAATGGCCAGCTCGCTCGCTAGATTTGACACCTTAAGACTTCTTTTTGTGGGGCTATTTGAAGCAAAAGGTGTACGAAGCTGAACCTGCTTCAATATTGGATATACGCCTGATGATAACAAATATTTGTAGAAATATCGATGTTACTATGTTTGAAAATGTTCGACGCGAAATTACGGACCGGCTGTTGTGCCAAGAAGTTCAAGTCAACCATTTCCAGCATCTTCTAAACTTGACTCAACGTATTTATTCAATTTATCAAGTTAAATGTCAATGCATTCAGGTAATTATTAAATGTACCACCATTTTGTAGTGAGCAAGGTATTGACTTTATATTCTAGGGTTATAAAATACTCGTCAGGAGCTTTAAAATGATGGGCCACATGACCGCCGTTTTTATATAATTTTTTTCCAAGATGGCGCCCAGCGGCCATCTTCATATTTTCATCTGTCAATTTTACTCTAAAATATGGTATCCACGGATCAATTTCATTACCTTAAGTTTTAATTTTTTGAATTGATCCGTTCAAAAACTCAAAGGGGAGGGGGACATTAAAACTGTATATTTCTGGACTTGGCATCGGCTTGTCTATTCTCTTTGTAACAAGCTTCTGTCTGCTTTGATATTCTGTCGGGTTCCACGATTTGTTGAACCAGCCGAAAAGGGGAGGGGGACATTAAAGAAAAGCACTGTATATAACAAAGCGATTCGCAAGCCAAAGATCACCATGATGAAAAATTAAGCACAATAATAACAGTCTGTCTTCCAGGACATTGGCCAAGCAGATTGAAGATAACTGCTCAAAGAGTAGCTTTCCACTGGTTAAGTACCAGAATAGTGGATGCCAAGATCTTTGCTGCCAGCTCCACCATGGACGTCTCCCCCAACGTCCGAGTGGCGTCGATTCAAACCTTCAGTCATGGGACCGTAAGATGGGTGCTCTTGTCGCTCGACATCAACAACGCTTCTGGTCCGGACTTGATGTCTGCCGTTGAAGTGAAGAGATGTGCAGCGGAGCTTGCTCCAATTCTTCCGCGTCTCTTTCACGTATATTATTTCATCCTAAAAAAGTATCTACCCTTACAACTTGCCTGTAGCTCTGCTTTCTGTTATAAGTAAGGTGTTGGAAAGGTGCATAAATCGAATGGTCGTGGTTCAGATCACCAAGGTCTTTATCTGGCATGAACTCGTCTCGTCAATAGAGGCAGCTGCTGGAAAAAAGCTAGGCTATTTGCTTAAGGCTGGGAAATACTTATCTCCACATAATTTCCTGATTCTGTACGAGGCTCAGGTAAGGCCTAGCCTCGAGTACTGCTCACATTTTGAGCTACTGCCGCTTTGACTACATTATGCATCCTTAATTCTGTGTCGAACTTCATAGATCCAGAACTGGCCGATACGACCGCGCCTTTGTTCTTAGGGTATCGCGACTTTTACTAAGATCAGGCAATTCAAAAATCGCTACCTTCAAGTTAGGTGTTGACAGACGGGGAAAGGGAGGCATTGTATGTTGTGGAATTCCGACACATCCTCGCTTGGATATATCGCTGCACTTTATGTCAACGAATGTATCATTCTGTTATGCATGTATGAGTGTGCTAACCGCGCTGTTAGTTATCGCAGATTGAGGTCGTTTACGATACGTGTGCGTGTAAGGTAAACACTGGCGGAATAGTTATAATAAATAATACACAAGTGCACATGCGAACTGGATAATGGTGATAATCTACCACGATGTATAGCCGTTTATTGAGGTTTTTGTTACAATATTTCGCAACAACAGGAAGCAGTAGATGGTAATGTGGGAGCGTATCCTGGAGTCTACTAAATCTTTGGACTTTTTACTGGACCAGGACACTCACAGTCTCACCATTAAAACTTGACATTGAACCCGCCGGACTTTCGGACAAAGGTCAGAATGTTCGATTGGCCTGCTTGGTGAATCTCTGCTCTATTAAACAGAGTAATATTGGAGTAGGTAGGGCCTTTTTCTATTCCCATGAGAGATTGATTTGCAATGGCGTGCAAAAATATCAACCAGCAGATTAAACAGCCGTTGAATTCAAAGCTATGCTTGTTTGAGCATATTATGACTTTGTAGTCTGCCTACAGCGCCTATATAAAAGTCGATTTGATGTTAATAAATAAAGAGCCCTTGACTTTTGACTTTGTTAGGCGATCTGCTTTCTCGTTATATGATTTCATGCGGAATCCGTTACACTGTATTTTTCTTGAGATTTTAGCCTGTATACATTTATGTCTGCATCCACAATCATACATGATGTTTTAATCAGTCAAACGTTCCGTTTGATTCAGATTTATGTTATGCATGAAATACTTCATTATATATACACACGAGCAACGTAATAGAAGATAAATTAGTAACACATTTAGCAGACCCCGGCTATATGCTGTTAAACCATTATATGACCATCATCCTGACAATAAAATAATATACAGTAATTATTCAGACAATATGGTCCGCAAACGAGCACAATCAATCCCAGCAACACTTGCAACACAATGTTTCACAATGCATGTCGATCATTACTATCAATTGTGATAGGCCGTCATTACGAATATTTGAATGTTGTCCGCTTTGGCAATAATCATTTCCATGCATGCCTTGAGGCAGATGCATGTTGATTTATATGGTTTATGGTAGAATAGATTTACGCCAGTAGGCCTGAATGACAAATGATTTTCTGGACTTGCACCTCTGACGAAGTAGAGTAGCAAGAATTCGCATAATGAGTATAGTGATAATTCTCAGGGGAGCATTAAAGCACACATGTATACCGACGAGGAATGATTGTAATCGCGGACAATTTCTGAAATGGGGTATTATGTTTTTGGGACTTTATATGACATGTACATCACCAAAAATGTCTATAGACTTATATGGCCCTGTTTGATCGACTTGATCCGTTATTTTCTCTATTATACATGTTCGTGACGAACTTTTTTCTCAGGGTGTCCAACTTAAACAAGCCGTTTTCGTCCGACTGACCAAAGATAGCCAAACATGGATGGCTGTTTCGTGCTTTCTTGGGAACTCATCAGCATGGTAGCTTCTGGGATAACAAACGAAAGCATGGCAATTATCATCTATCCAGGATAAGGTCTATGATCTTATTTCGATAGGGTCACTGTCCCCTAAAGTTCAATAGATTCTCCATCTTAAAAGAAAGATTATCCTCAAAAAAATGTAATTTTAAACGTGGTTCAGAAACTCTGATTTACTAACTACTTATGTCTAACTGATCTGTAGTGAGCAGTTACTGTTTTTGACATGTCTAGCCTTCCAAACTGTTAAAAATGTTTGATAAATTAGCTTCAGCCACTACCACTCTAGAGCAGCAAATCTTTCAATTTTAATAGATAATTACAATAATAATAATCGTCTTTTATTAAAGTTTAGCTTGTAGCTATTCTGACACTTTACTCGTGAAATCACAAAGAAATACAAAAACGATTGTAAATATGTAAAAGTAGGGTAAATCGTTAGTTATCGGACACCTGCTGTTTCAAAACCGACTACTAAGAGTTCTGTATGGCGTATTTTGTTTAGTCCTCGACAGGTGGTATCTCTATAATATATGTTAACAGATTTCTATTCGGTTGCGCATACTTCCACGCCGGTGCTGTGATTATGGCGGGAAAATTTTATAGGTTATGTTCTTGACTCTGAAGCTAAAGTTTGTGTTAGCGTTGCGGTTCAGGTATCGACAAAAAATTCTACATTTGCTCTCAAATTAAGCATCTATTTTGTACTGCGCTTGTACTGATATTTGTTGTCAAGCTTTAGATTGCATCAAAACCAAGTTTGAGTTGATAATTTCAGAAATATGTTCTGTCCAATCACTCATAGTTTTTTCAACTAATTTCTGTTATTGGACATCTGTCCAATCACTGAAAAATGTTAAGTAATTATGTGTTCACTCGATTCAGTGAATCTTTATACAATCTTTATACAAGAATATTTTTCTATTTATATTAACTTGGAAATGGATTTGATAGTTATTGGTCCAATAGCTAAACTTGACCGTCCAGTAGCCGAGTGCGGTTCTCTAATATTTGGTCTACATTTTAGGAACTAGCAATATACCGAAATTTAGGCAATACGACAAGTCGAAACTTGAACACGTTCCCAGAGACATACAAAACAGCACAGAATTTTACCGAACAGCCGAAAAAAGTAAGAAATTCCGAAATCCACTTTAGAATTTAAACTAAAACATCCCGGTCATAAAGAAACCTTGGGTCCATCGCCAATTTTAACAAGTGAAGAAGAGGCTTTGTTAGTTAGGTAATTTGTATTTTATTAGTGACTAATAACACGAGACTAATTTTATAAATATTTATCTGCAGCTGGATAAAAGATAATGCTGCAAAGGATGTTCCAAGAAAGGCTAACGATTTTGAGAGTACAAAGATTTTTGAGTGTTAATCCGCGCCCTCACAAATTCAATGATAACCAACTTGTAGATGGGTGGGTTAAGGTATCCCAGCAGATAAGTAATGTATAATTAGTTACTTCTTATAGATATTTTCAACGTTACAGGGATTTTTCAAAAAGCATCCCGATATCTCTAAAAGAACAGTTGAAGGGGTTATTTCGTCCAGTGCATGTGTCTCAGAACAGGACATCAGAAACTGGTTTGTCAATATCCATGACTGCCTCAAGCAAAAAAATCTAGAAGATGTGCTTAAAGATGCTTCAAGGATTTTTAATGCTGACGAGTAAGGATTTGAGATTTGTCCTTCCACTGGGAAGGTGTTTGCAGCAAAAGGGACAAGAAATATGTATTCTGTAGAACGCGGTTCTTCGAAAGAAAACATCACCGTCCTGTTTACTTTCTCAGCAGATGGTACGACTTGCGTGCCAATGGTAGTTTTCCCTTATCAACGCATTCCTGAAGAAATGACTAATGGTATTAATCCTAAGTGGGGCATAGGAAGAAGCGACAAAGAACGGATGACATCCGAAACATTTTATCAATATATAGCAAATGTTTTCTATCCCCATCTGAAGGAAAGTGCCATCAAATTACTAGTGATCCTCTTTCTCGACGGTCATAAGAGTCACCCGAATTAACATCTGAGCATTCTATGTAATGAAATACAAATTGAAATCATTTCACTGAATCCTAATGCTAGGATTTTGCAACCCTGTGATGTATCCATTTTCCGACCAATCAAAGAAGCTTGGCGTCAGTCAGTACGAAAGTGGGAAGAAGAACATCCGGAGAAAATAGTAAACCAAGTCGTTTTTGCTGGTATTCTAAAAATGCTGTTAATAAGAGCTTCAAAACAGAAACAGTTGTAAACGGGTTTAAAGTCTGCAGTTTGTATCCTTTCAATCCAGATAACGTCGACTATACAAAATGTCTAGGAGAAGGGACCATATAGCAACCAAATATATGTGTAGAAAATCTTACTCAGCACAAGATGACCTACGACAAGTTCGCAACAATTGTTGGTCCCAAAAAAATCGAAACGTTCCACAATATTGATGGAAAAACGGCAAAAAATGAAATTTCCGATGAAAATTTGCATCTATTATTCAAGACTTGAAGATTCTTCCGAAACGGTGATACAACACCTACGGATATAACAAAGCCAAAAAATAAAATTAATATTGTATAAAATATAGTTATAATGTCCCCAACAAAAAATCCTTCACTTGCTTCAAATTCTAGTAAAACTGAACAAACCGCAACCCTTAGACAACCGAGTAACAGCAAAGCTACCGTCAATGTAATGTGTAAGCAAATAATTCTTCCCAACCGAGTCGTTGTTACAAACAAACTGTTAGGAAGCTTCCTAGAGTCACCTTCTGCACCAGCACGAAAGGGTAATCGAAACAGAGAGATTCCCTTTTGCTATAACATCTGAGCGATATCAGGAGATGTTCAGGCAAAAAGAAGAATGAAAGAAACAGCAGGAAGAAGACAAGGAAAATAGAAAAAGGAAGAAGCAGAAAAAACGAAACGAAAAACAAGGTAAAGGTAAGAATTCACAAACAGCAACACAGTGCTCTGCCTGTCTAAAGGGCATCAGATCTGCTGAACTACAAAGTGTTGACTGTAAACGATCATCAAGATTGTGTTCCACAAAGTCACGAACATAATATACCTAGCGATGACGACTTATACATATGTCATAACTGCTAAAGATTGAGTGATAGTGACGAGGATTGTGAAGATATTAATGATCAGGAAGTCGATGAATTATATGACCAATATAATCAGGCAAAAAAGCATTTTACAAATGATTATACCACATTATATAAGACCCGTCCAATAACTGGATTTTCAGTGTCCCATATCTAAATGATGCGTCCGATAACTATAGCTTTTTGCATATGCTCAAATTATCATTGTTAGTATAAATTCTGCAGTCTAGCAGTCTAGTTAATAAAGCCTCTAACTTCTTTTATATGTAGTTTCCATTGTCTCTTTGCCATAATTGAAAGTTTGGCTCTCATTTAAAGTTGTTTAAACCTTAACTGTCCAATAATTGTCTGGTTTACCCTACCTAAGAATACTAACAGAAAATAATGAAAATTTAATAGTACATGTGAATGTATACAGAAAAAGATTTTGCAAAGTAATGTTCAACTATGCAGGTGAGTACTTTTCTAAAATAAATTGTTTAGTTTGTTTTTTAAATTTATTGTAATTTAGTGATTTTAATGCCTGAGGTACCCCATTATAAAGTGTTATCGTGTTGTATGTGAAGCACTTACGGAAGAATGAGGTTTTGTGGAGAGGCATTGTGAGTGTCTCAGAAACCGTACGTATCTTCAGTGAATAGAATTTCGAGGGACCAGCTTGTCCTTTAAAAACAAGGAAGCCGAAGAAAGAGCTTATGACTATAAGTTTATAGGTGTAGCTCATATAGCTCTCTCACCTTCAAACATCCCAAGTCTCTTGAAAAACCGCTTATACAGTCATATTTTCTCAAATTATTTATTCATGTGCAGCATGAATCTTGAATTCTTTGTAAACGTGAAATTTTATCTAAAAACAGATTGTGGACATAATTATTGGATCGCATATTTTTTTAGTTTGACAATCGAGAATCGGCTTATTCAGGTATAACTGAGTAATTAAATTCAAGTAAGCAGATGTATGGAATTTGTTTTATAATCATAGTCTTCTCTTGCTCCAATAAACAGCACATAAGTTTGAGTATGACTGTTTCGAAAAGCAAGCGAAACGAGCAAAACAGATAACGCATAAGCTTTTAATGACCATAATTTAACGAGTAATGGTCTTGTCATAAGGATAATCACTTTTTATAGTCGATTTTCATATTTCATAATGTGGTTTCGTGGAGCTCATAAAACGATAATACTCTGTAATAAAATCCAGCGCCCGGTTTGTAAAATAAAATATTTCATTAAAGCTCCAATAATATTTATAAAGATATGCGTGGTACAACCGAATTCCAACATCAGATTCCATAGCAAAAAATGCAGAATAACAAAAACTGTCCAGCATCAGCGCGTGTATGTCCCTCATAATCTGTATGGAATGCCAATAGCAAGTGCCTAACGAACTTTGATCCAGGGGCGTCATTTGGTCTCAAGTTATTTTCGTATAACAAGTTTCAGGCACATGTGCACCTTGCGCAATGTGTTCTCTGTGGATTGCCAAAGTTGTTAAAATTTTAATGACCCTATAGTTCACTAAAATCAAGGGGAAAACTCATCGGCTGCCCGATGTTCAAGCAGTTGACTGTCCCGCAGGGTTTTTACGTAAAAAACCTATATAATGTCAAAAAATACAAAATGCCAACTTGCTGACTAGATAGTTCCTAGTTTGTAAGTAGTTAATTTCTCTATTGCTCACTAGGAGCGTTGTGAGCGTTACCAGAAGCGTCATCTGTGGAGGAATGACTCATCGAGCCGTATCAATAAAAGAGAAGCATATCCTCGGAAGCATAAGGTAAAAGTATAAGGTCTTGCTACGGAGAAACAGGTAGAAGTATAAGCATATCCCTGTTTTCATATTCATAATGATTACCTTATACTCGCGAGAATATCCTCCAAGAAGAAGTAAAAGGTTGACAGGTATTTGTATCTTGAGCGACAAAAAATATCAACAACATGAAATCAAGATTGAAGAAAAAAAAACAGATCTAAAAAAACTGGTAATAAAGCACTTAAATGGTTAGATTGAGAAAGAAAGTTGCTGAAAGCTATGGAGGGTGACTGTAATCCTACAATTGGGAAAATTAGAGGTGCCATACAGGTTGGTAGTGTTCAAGAAGAAGGAAGTGAACTATATACCGAACGCAGTGACCAAACAGTTAGTATTACAGCGCCAGCAATTTAGAACACATTACCACCAAAAAGAAAACTAGCAACAGAGAAATACGAAACTGAGGAAACCAAAGGGTTAACTACAAAAGAACTGCATCGTCTAGTGCTATTACAGAAGTACCAAACAAGTATTTTACAACAAGAGTATTATAAAACGAAATTGGAAATGATGCAGCGTCCGAAGCCACCTGTAACTTATGATGTTCACGAAAATAAAACTTATTATAACTTATAAATACACTTTAATCAGTAAAACTATTTATTATAATACTCAAGTTTCTTCTTATTTGTTGACCTAGTTGGCGGAGGGGAAGTTCGTCATTCTCATGATTCCCTTCATCTTCATCTGGGTCTTGTTCAACTAACTCAAAGTCAGGATCGCCCAAGCTCTTCGCAACATTATGGAGTACAATACAAGCAATAATTATTTTCGACACATTATCCAACTTTACGCGGCAAACATGCTGTAGGATAGGAAACTGGCGTTTCAGTTGGCCGAAGCAGAGTTTAATTATAACTCTTTCTTGTTTTAAAAGCTTATTATAATTTATTTCTGCACCTGGAGTAGGATTTCTGAAGGGAGTCATAAGTCATGGCTCAATACCATAACCGTCATCGCCAAGTAGTACAACATTTGCTTTATTTATTAGTTGTGGTCTAGTCTGCGAATTTCTCCATATTCTGGAATCTTGCACGGATCCAGGCCAACTGACATCAACACTTGTGACATCACTCGGGCATTACAATTGGCTTGCACATTTAAAGTAGGTTTCCCTTTTCGGTTGATATACTCATCTCCATGGCGATTTGGTTTCAGGATTCCTATATGTGTACAATCAATTACACCAATTGCTGTCGGAAATTTCTATATGCTTTGCCATATTTGTTTGGCATCCATCAGTTCATGGTTGGTAGTTGGATACTTGATCCATTCGTTCGACTGTGTAACTATGCTGTTCACAACTCTATCCACAGCCCGAGATACCGTTGCTTGACTAACACCAAGTTACTGACCAATACCTTGTTGATATCCAGGGTTTCCAAGATAGCGTAGCCATATCTTTATTTTATGAATTCATGAAAGTGCTCCTCCTCGAGTGAAGGTAAACGAGGTTTGT